CTGCTGACGCTCCACATTTATATAATAATGTTCAATCCAACCTTATGTATTCTTCGGCCATTTAATTAATTGTTTGTGGAACATTTCTTAATTATTTCGAGTTACAGAAATTCGATGACCCTGCTTGCTTTTTATTTTTTTTTCATTATTTTAATTAAGAAGAAAGTAACAAATTTCAACTTATAAGTTTTATTTAATATAGAGGCACATGAATCTACAGTTTCCGACAAAAAATTTCAAACATCACTTTTCTGTCATGTCAAAAATTTTAATGTAGTCTATGCTTTATTGTCATTATTTCGGACAGCTGGAATGTCAAACTTTCAAAATACCTAAACATCTAAAGGTTGCTTTACACTATCTGACGACTGATTGACATTGACGTCTGAAATTTTTTGGCGGCAACTGTATATATTTCTACTGAGATTATTCCATATATCAGAGCAAATATTCATAATGGAAATGTGAGGACGTTGTAAAAGCACTGTTTATTATAGAGTAGTAGATAGAGAACCTACTAAACATGCTTCAAATTTCTTACCACGGCGGACATTACCTTCTCAGTTCGTTAAATTACAATACGAGTATGTTGTTTTGACCAGAAACAAAACGATTAGACACTGATAATGTGATAGACTCTCTAAACCTTACGTTCGGAACAACGACAGTACTTAGGTAGAGAATGATGTTCAAACTTGACTGCAAATTGTGACATAATCTCATAAAGTGTAAATCAGTATGATTAGGTATTCCGTAATTTTTCTGTTTTACCAGAGATGCCGGTTGCAACTGGTAAGAAGTACTTAACAGCATAACACTTCTTCTTAAATACAAGGTACTATCAGTGTCAGTACTGTGAACAAAATTTCAAAGAAACCATTTGGAGCACTAGGCCACTGTTTGAAAATGTAACTTAACCTATAAATTGCTTTTGAAGTTTTTGAAACTAAATCACTAAATTAGATAAAGACAGCAATCACTATAGCTATTTCATAACTTACCGTCATGTAACAAAGAGAGAGACAGAAAATGTCCGTGTCACAACTCTTTTCCAAAGTATATCTAGGGACACTAGCCATAGGTAATTTGCCGTACTTTCTAAAAGTAATAATAGATCTCGTGACTTTATATTATCCTCATTTCGGCCGTCTTTGTCGAGGTATTTAACGTTGTCACAATAGAATCCTATCATATAATTAATCTCAGAGTTTGTAGACTACTATAAAATGAACTTTTTCTTTCTAAAATATATGTCAAGTGCCTATTCCGTCCTTTAAGTGCCTAAACATGCCTTAAATTATGAAAATTAAAATTTATTGTTTGTTTTTTTGTTGCGGAACTATTTTTAGATGTATTTAGTTACCTAGTCAGGGACTGGTAACCAAACTTTTGGAAAACTCTACCAGGCCAAGATGGTCTGCAAATTTCCTATCCCATTCATTTATTATATTTATAGAGTCGGGGTGTTAGTGACCTTGTTAGTGATTTTTGAATGAGTAAAAAATAGGTATAATTTTATACTTAAATAAAGCCCTCCCCTTTTTTTGGTCCATGACGATATTAATTTAACAGATGAAAACTTCCAAGAACTTGTCTCCTAAAATAGATCAAAGTTTAAAACTAGTTTAAATGCCATAAATAAACTATTTAAATCTCGAGTGGGAAGTTATAAGGTGTTACGAAATAAACCAATACGTCGCCCCGGTACGACGCCTATGGGTTTTCTCGAAGGCGATGATGGGTGACTCATGTCGGAAGTCTCAATGGTGGGTTCCAGAAAAACCTCGAAGCGGCGTTCGTAAACCATCCAGAGAAACACAAGCTTATTTAAATAGGGACCACTGTCGGAAGCAAGGTAGTCAAGTCCAGTCAATGTTAAGAGAATTTGGGTCTAGTCATATCCATTCCAGTCAAGTAGGAATTATTTTGTACATGATCGTTGTGTAGTTCGTCGTGTAGATTAGTACTACTCAGAAATAAATTATTGAATTTTACCCACGCCGATTTTTAATTATCGATCAATGTAACAATACTCGTATAATACCTTAAATAAAAGTCTTCGTAATTTTGATATCGTTAATGAAATAAATTTGGCCCGAATAAATGAATTTTCTGTTAATCTTCAATCATCAATTAATCAACAATAACTCTTCAATTCTTTGATTCCTCCATTCTTTCTTTCTTTCTTTCTTCATTCTTCAGTTTGAATATCGAGTCTTCATTCTTCACCGTTCATTCCTCATGTTTGATGCTTCAATCTTCAAACTTCACTCCTCATTCTTCAGTCTTAAATCTTCAATATTCAGTCTCTATTCTCCATTTTTCATTCGTCAATATTCAAATATCCTTCCGCATTCTCTGTTCTTCGTTCTCCATCGTCCGTTTCTCGTTCTTCGTTCCTGCTTCTCCATTCCTCGTTTCTTGTTCCTCCTTCCTTTTTCCTTCTTCATTCCTCATCATGTTTTATTATTCAATATCCTTTAATCTTCATTCTTCATTCCTGATGCTTCAATCTTCGTTATTTTTTCGTCATTCTGGATTATTGCAATTTTGGATTTTTAGAGACATCTTCAGCAGCTTACAACTTCTTGAGTTGACTCTTCCATTCTTGGATTATTGAATTTTTGTAATTCTGGATTCTTAGTTTTTTAAATTTCGCATTTTTCCTTTTAGGAATTTTCTAGTTTCAGTTTTTGAATTCTTAAAATTTGTGCCCATTTGAATGCACGATTTTATAAATTTCGAGTATAGAACTTTATACAGGGCTTTTATAAATGATTCTAAAAGAGTGTAGTTGGTCATGGATTTCAAAAATATCGCTTCGCTGAAATTATGCCCGTGATTATGCATCATTATGACAGTTCTCACTTGTCACATTAATGTCTAATGTCATTTATAACATGTCATTTAAAGTCGTCGTTTTTATTGTTTTAATGTTTTTCAAGTGCGAATTAGAGTCATTCTCGTTGATCCAAGTTCAAAACAACAAAACAGTCATTTTCAGAACTCTTGGTGGTTGCGTACGAAAATTTTGTTTTTGTGCTAGGAAGCGAAGACTGTGAAAATGGTTTATTCTGTTAAACACTCACTTTCATCATTATGTCTTGTTATCGCAATGGGACTCCGTGAACAAAGAGTATGTGTATTCTGTAACTGCTTGTAAGCAAGAATACCGTGATTTAATAATTCAAAAAACATCGTTAAAGACCCACAAAAAGAAAGCTCGTGGAAGATTTAATCTGAGGAAATTGTTGATGATTTGAGACGATTTGAGTAGAATTGTACAATTGAACAAAGGGTCCAAAAGTATTGACGAAAAAATGTTACAGAGCATTTTTGAAATTAAAAAGAGTGTGAACATGTGCCTTGAACAGAATGATGAACATTTTCAACATTTACTGTGATGTTTAACCGCAATAAATATGTTTCTTTTTATCGAAGTGAATTAGTTATGAAGCGTTTAGGCAACCAGTTATACACATGTGTGATCTTTATCATGCGGCCTTGGGCACTTAGTACGGATCTCCGTACAGTTAAATCTGAGAGGCGGCAGGTTTACATGACCTACTGGGACCCTATAATCATTTATAGAAACCCTATATTATCGTCTTAATTATCTAAACATAACTATTATGATTATTATTAATTATTTTAACCATTTTATCTTTCTTCTTCTTGTCATTGTTAGGTATAATTTTGTGCTACTAACTAGAAATACAATTTCAAAACCACCTTGCTTCTCTTCGTCTATTTGAGATCATTTTCTTAGAGAAGTAAGTTGCAATTGCGAGATATCAAAACATTCTGTAGGAATTTATTACCAGTTTGAGCCTGAAAAAGTTCAGAATGGATACTCATAGAGTTCACGCAGACCGGCGGCTGGTGTCAGGGGGCACAAGGGTATGTTAAAATTACAACGTCTACAAACACACAAAAACGGAGACCAAATCATGACTTATTTACATATTTTGCTTACACCGTTGCCATGGAAACCGTGCCTCTAGTCGCTGTATTTGGCTGGAATCGGGTCACATTTGAAACAGTGACCGCTAGTTTCAATAACGGGACTTCATTTTCATTCTGCACGAGTGAAGTAGTTTGATTTTAAATAACAATAATGAATTCAGTTTAATATTTAATAAAAAATGGTTCCCTATCTTCCCGCGATAAAATTGTAGTAAAAATTTAAGGAGAGCCCCCCCAGATTTATTAATAAAAAAAGTGTTCACAAGAGGCTTTCATAGATATTTTAATAGACATAACACGTATGATAAATTTCTGTGGAAGTGTGATTGTAAAAAAAAAATGTTTTATGTGTCTCCTCAGTAATAAGTTAAAATCAAAGGTATGTGGACATATAATTTTTTACTTTTATTGAATGTATTTTTGTATTTATTTCCGTCACATCATTGCGTCTGTTAATTGGTAAGAACAGCCTGTTGTATTTCTTGTTGACATAACCTAACCTAAAACTGTGTCAGGAAATTCTTGCGAAACTAGATCACAAATCAAAAAATCAGCCGGTATAAACAAATAAAAACTACAATTTGGACAAAGAATAATTGTTTGTTGTCCAAAAATACCGAATTCGGATTGTACAACCCTATTTTGAATATTTTAAAGAGCTGTTTTATTATCAAAATCCTGTCCCACCATCCAGTAATTCAGTTTCCCTTATTTACCCTTAATGATTGACGGCCTTAGTTCCTAGCTGGCCCCAATTAACGACCGATTGTGATCACGTCAAAGTGACGATGTTATCTGTTCATACAAATTACCCCGACTATTTAATAACCCTCTTCCCTCTGGTCAGGCAATTCCGCACACGCTCTTTCCGCACGGAAAAGAAATTCGTGTTTTCCACATCACAATCCCTAATCCACGTTTCTGCGTCAGGTAAGAACTGAACAAGACATCTCCCTGTCGCCTCAAAGCAAAGCGAACAATCCACACACAAAGCCAACCACAACCCCACAACTTATCATCCCTCCGGCCCTTACCTATCTCAGTAAAAATCGGAGCTTTCCAGCGTCTTGCACTGTTTGCTCAAAGTCGCGTACTTTCCATTATTAGGTCCTGAGAGAGCTGGTTCGTGGTGGTGGGATGGGAGGCGGCCGAGAGTGTGGCCCCGGAGATGAGACATATGGGCCGCCCCTCGGTGATGTTCCGATGGTCGCATGTCACACCCATCTCTGTAAAGAGAACATGTTGCATTGCACACATCTGACTCGATTACATCGAGGTGGCGTCTTCTCTAATTTGCTCTAGTCTATTAGATGCTTGTCGACAAGCCGCTATCGAATGACCATGCACTGATCGAAAAAATTATGTTGGCAGGTTGTCGCTGATGCTTTGTCTTACAAGTGAATTTATGGTGTATTTACAACGGCAGCTTTTTGGCTACCGCATATTCATTCTGGCATAAGATCTTTTTGTACATTTGGCAAAAGTTGATAAGAATGGACTATGAGTGGAACGAATGCCAAATTGGCGGCTGGATTGGTTGTGCTTCCGCATTTTTTGAGGCTAAGGTCAAGAAACTAACAATGGTGATTTTCCGAATATTAAAATAAAACTAAAAACTGAAGGTACTAGCGCAACAAACTACCTAACTAACCTAGACATACCTACTAATTTAGTACTTCTAAAATTTTTCTATCTCTCTGGTGACTAACGTGATTAGCATAACTCCTAATTTGTTTTCCACCGTTTCACTGCAAACACGCCTTAAGTGTTAATTTTATTTCAACCATTAAGGCTTGTTTAATTTGAAAACAAATACTTGACTATTTACATTGAAAGAAAGGAAACCTTACATCACCATTAAAAACAAGTCTCATTTCTTACTTAATCACCACTTTCTGAAAAGATTCACTTTACTTGTTTTGTAATCCTTATTTTTATTTATTTTGGGTAAAACGGGAATATTTCAATGTCCATTTCTTGTTTAAAAAACTATAAAAATGTTTACAAAAACAAGCACAAAAATTTGATCAACCACAAGAAATGTTTGTCTTTGTTTTGAAGGTCATTATTCATCCTTATCGTTTTGATAATTAATACCACGACTTTCAAGATAGCGACGTTGCGTTTCGGGTGTCTTGGACTTTGGGTTCAAAACAACTACTGCTTTATTATTTTAAATGTCTGCATGAGGTAAATCCAAGTTTAATGACAAGTTAAGTATTAAGCAAAAACTGAGGTAAACGTACTATAGCGGTTACTACTTCCTCTCTGCTATCACTTCAAAAACTGCAAAAAATCAAATGTATTTTTATAACCATGATTTGTTCAAAATTACGAAAAACTAGACAAAAATACACACAAATTTTCACGTTCTAACAGCAATCAGAAGGTTACCGACTCCACAATTGTAAAGACATCAATTTCTCTATAGTACAATTACGACGCTAAAAGCATTTTAATGTTTGTTTGGTATACCATTTTAGCGCTCAATATTCATACAATTATTTTAATTTGATTCCAGTTGTTCATTATTTTGACACCTTATAAAACGATGAAGTTACATTACTACGTTACAGTCAATTTCCACTCGCTTGGCTGAAACGAAAATGCTCAAAATTTTCTTGTGTTCCAATTCTGCAAACTTTAATCTACTTCAGAGAACTGCTGATTTAAAAGGCACACCGCCGTATCAAGAGATGTATATTTAATTAAGGAATGTTTGTATCAAAGAACATTTTTTAATTCAACTGGCAATGTTTCCAATAACATGAAAGGGCAGCGATGGGTGATTCATCGTGCGCTTTCAGGGCTGATCTTTTCACGACTTGGATCTAAAAGGATTTACTACGAAAGTTCCTATGTTTTCCAAGTATATGGCCGAGGTGTGCATTCGTTCAATAAAATTCCGGAAGTTTTGCCTTTAATAAATCAAGTAAATCGGGAACGCCTCACCTTTACGAATGGAGTAATGAAAATCAGCTTCACGTTAATAAACTTTTTTAAACAAAGTAAAGACAAAAAAAATGTTAGAGCTGATGTTCTGCTTATTTTTGATGTATATTATTTAATTTGTTATCCGATGTTTGAATTAAATAATATATATATTTAATATATTTTGCAGTAGGCTGTGATAGCATGTATTAAATTCCGCATCGGTGCCAGCAAACGCACAACAGCACATTTGCGTCAAAGTCAAACTGGCGCAAGTTGGAAAGTTATTACTGTTTTTATCGTGTTTATTTATTTTATGTAACTTTTCAGTTTCTAGACTTTTCATTTTTCAATTTTTATTTTTTTTTACGAATTTTCAATTATTCGATTTTTGGATTTACGGATTTCTCAATTTTTCGATGATTACGTTTTTCGATTTTTCAAGTTTTCAGTTTTAAAATTTTCCATTTTTCAATTTGCAATTTTCAGATTTTATATTTATCGGATTTTTTCCATCTTCGATTTTTCAACTTTCGAAATTCTTCGATTTCACAATTGTACAAATTGTTTAAATTTTTTGCTGTTTCAATTTTTAAATTTTCAATTTCTCGAGTTTTCAACCGTGAAATTTTTCCATTTTTGAATTAACCTATTTTTCAATTCTGCAATTTTAGTTTTTCGATTTCTTAATTATCAAAATCAACTTTTCAATTTCTCGATTTATAGATTTTTCTATTTTTCTATTTTTAGTACAACTTTTTGTATTTGTCAATTTTTCGATTCTTAAGTTTGACAATTTTTTTTATTTTTCGATGTTACAATTATCCGATTTTTCGATTTTACAATTTTTAGATTTTGTATTTATTCGATTTTTCCGTTTTAAAATTTTCAGACCATCAAATTGCAATTGTCAGATTTTACAATTATTACTTGTTTATTAATTTTTCCATTTTTTAATTTTACAATTTTGATATCTTTCGGTATTTCAACTATACAATTATTAACTTTTCAATATTTTGGTGCTTCAGTTTTTAATTTTCCAATTTCTCGATTTTTCAAATGTGATTTTTTCACTTCTCAATTATCAAATTTTTCAATTTTCCATTTTTCAACTTTTCAGTTTTTCGATTTTACAATTTTTCAATTTTTTATCAACTTTTACGGATTTTCGATTGTTTGGTTTATGAATTTTTCAATTTTTCTGTTTTAGGTATGATTTTCAATTTCTCGAGGTTAATTTTTCGTTTTTGCAATTTTTCGATTTGTCAATTCTTCGATTATTCAGTTTTACGACTTTTCAATTTTCGGATTTTTTTATTTTTCCATTACATATTCCGTTTTTAGATTTTTCAAGCTCTCAATTTTCTGATTTGCAATTTTTTTTATTTACGATCTGATTTTACAGTTTTTCAATTTGTCAAGTTTTCGATTTTATCCGATTTTTAATTTATTCGATTCTTTTTAATTTTCCGACATTTAATTTTTTAATTTAATAATTTAGCAATTTTTCGATTTTTCAGTTTTATGATTCTTCAATTTTTCGATTTTTATGATTTTTAAATTATTCCATTTTTCGATTTTTCAACTGTTCAGAAAAAATATTCAATTTTTCGATTAGCGATTTTTAGATTTTACGATCCGATTTTTCAATTTTGCAATCTTGAAATCCCTCGATTTCTCAATTATATAATTGTTAACTCCTCAGTTTTTTGATGTTTCAATTTTTAATTTTTTAATTTCTCCAGTTTTTCGATTTTACAATTAATCGAGTTTTCAATTTTTCGATTTTTTAATTCTGCAATTTTTCAATTTTTGGATTCCTTAATTATCAAAATCAAGTTTTCAAGTTTTCGGTTTATGGATTTTTCATTTTTCAATTTTTCTGTTTTTAGTTAGATTTCTCGATTCGTCGATTTTTTATTCTCAAGTTTGACGATTTTGCCATTTTTCGATGTTACAATGACCCGATTTTTCGATTTTATAATTTTTAGATTCAATATTTATTCGATTTTTCAATTATTCGATATTTAAATTTATCGATTTGTCAATTTTCGGCTTTCTCTGATTTTTTAATTACATAATTTTTTAATTTTTCCAATTTTTTTTTCGAGACTTAAAAAATATAATTATTAACTTTTCAATATTTTGATGTTTCTATTTTTAGTTTTTTAATTTCTCGATTTGTGATGTTTTTCCATTTAACTGATTTTCCAATTTTTCAATTTGCATTTTTAACAACTTTTTCAAATTTTTGATTTTTCGGTTTATGGATTTTTCAATTTTTGGTATGATTTTCAATTTCTCGATTTTAGATTTCCCTACTGAATTTTTCAATTTTAGAATTTACCCATTTTTGAATTTCTCGATTTTAGATTTACTTCGAATTTTTCTTCAGTTCCACGATTTTTCAATTTTCCTGACATTTAAATTTTCAATTTTATAATTCAGCAATTTGTCGATTTAATGATTTTGGAATTTATCACTTTTTCAATTTTTCGATTTTTCAATTTTTCGATTTTTCAGTTTTGCGATTCTTCAATTGTCCGATTTTAAATTATTCCCTTTTTTGATTTTTCAAGGTTTAGTTGACAATATTCAATTTTTAGATTTTACGATTCGATTTGTCTGAAATATTTCGATTTCTCAATTTTTGATATTTTTAGCTCATTTTTCAATTGTGCATTTTCCCATTTTACAATTTTTTGATTTGCAATATTTCAGTTTTTCGATTTTACAATGAATCGATTTTTCTTCAATTTTACAATTTTTCGATTTCTTGATCATCAAAATTTTCAAGTTCTAGATGTTTCAGTTTCCGGATTTTTCATTTTAAATATTTTTTATTAGTTATTCAATTAATGAATTTTTGAATTTTACAATTTTAGTATTTTTGGATGTTTAGATTTATTCGATTTTTCAATTTCCCAACTTTTAAGTTTCCAATGTTATAATTTTGAAATTTTTAGATTTAGCTATTTTCGAATTTATCGATTTTTCAAGTCGGTGTTAGGATTTTAAATTTGTTGTTTTTCAATTATTATTCGACTTTACCGCCACCTGGTTTTTTGGTTTTACATTTCCCAAATTTTCTATTTTACAATTTTTAAATTTCTCAATAGTTAATTTTCCAATTTTTCGACTTCTCGATTTTTAATGCAAGATTTCCTCGATCTTCAATTTAACAATTTTTCAGTTTCCGTTTTTTCCAATTTCTCGATTTTTCAGATGTGATTTGTCCATTTCTTAATCATCTGAATTTTCAATTTTCCAATATTACAATTTTCAAATTTTTGATTTTTCGGTTTATGGATTTTTCGATTTTTCAATTGTGCAATTTTTTTCCTTTTTTTCTATTTTATAATTAATCTATTTTTCAATTTTATAAGTTAGCAAATTTTCGATTTCCTGATTATCAAATTTTTCAAGTTTTCGATGTTTGGATTAACTTTTTTCAATAATTTTTTAACGATTCAATTTTTGAACTTATCATTTTGTGAATTTTTTCATCCGATTTTTTCATTTTACAATTTTTCGATTTTAAATTTCGACATTTAATTTTTCAATTTTATAATTTAGCAAGTTTTCGATTTGGTGATTTTGGAATTTATCGATTTTTCAATTTTTGAGTTTTACGATGTTTCTGAGTTTTAAATACTTCCGTTTTCCTATTTTCAAGTGTTGTTTAAAATTTAATTTTCTTATTTGCAATTTTTAGATTTTACGATTCGAGTTTTCAATTGTTCGATTTTCCATTTTTCAATTTTTGAAATTGCAATATGTCGGCTTTTCGATTTTATGATTAATAGATTTTTTCAATTTTACAATTTTTCGATTTTAAATTTACCTATTCGATTTTACAATTTTTGAATTTAGCCATTTTTGAATTTATCGATTTGCAATTTTAGATTTTACGATCACATTTTTCAGTTTTTCGATTAATCTATTTTTCAATTTTATAAGTTAGCAAGTTTTCGATTTCGATTTCCCAACTTTTAAGTGATTTCTAACTTTATCAATTTTTCAAGTTCTAGAATTTTAATTTTTTTGTTTTTCAATTGTTCGATTTTACCGCTATCTGCTTTTTTAATTTTACAGTTCCCAAATTTTCGGTTTTACAATTATCCGATTTTTCAATTCTTAGGTGTTTCAAGTTTCCAATTTTTCGATTTTTGAATAGTTAATTTTCCAATTTTCCGATTTTTACTTTTTCGAGTTCTCGATTTTAATGCTACATTTTCTCAATCTTTAATTTAACAACTTTTCATTTTCCGTTTTTTCCAATTTCCCGATTTTTCAGATGTGATTTTTCCATTTCTTAGTTATATGAATTTTCAATTTTCCAGTTTTTCGATTTTACAACTTCAATTTTTTATCAACTTTTTCAAATTTTTGATTTTTCCGTTTATGGATTTTTCAATTTTTCTATTTTTGGTGTGATTGTCAATTTCTCGATGTCATTTTTCGATTTTAGATTTACCTATTCGATTTTACAATTTTAGAATTTAGCCGTGTTTGAAGTTATCGATTTGTCAATTTTTCGATTCTTCAAGCTTTCAAGATTTTCAATTTTCCGATTTGCAATTTTAGATTTTACGATCACATTTTTCAGTTTTTCGATTTTTCAATTCTGCAATTTTTTCCATTTTTTTATATTTTACAATTAATCTATTTTTCAATTTTATAAGTTCGTATTTTCCATTTCTTGATTATCAAATTTTTCAAGTATTCGATGTTTTGGATTAACTTTTTTCAATAATTTTTTAACGATTCAATTTTTGAACTTATCATTTTGTCAAGTTTTCGGTTTTATCCAATTTTTTAATTTAAAATTTTTCGATTTTCAATTTTAAGTTTTCCGACATTTAATTTTTCAATTTTATAATTTAGCAGGTTTTCGGTTTAGTGATTTTGGAATTTATCGATTATTCAATTTTTGAGTTTTACGATTTTTCTGATTTTTAAATTCTTCCGTTTTCCTATTATCAAGTGTTCATTAAAAATTTTCAATTTTCCGATTTGCAATTTTTAGATTTTACGATTCGAGTTTTCAATTGTTCGATTTTCCATTTTACAATTTTTCTATTTCTTGATTATCAATTTTTTCAAGTTTTAGACTTTTCAATTTTCGATTTTTGAATAGTTAATTTTCCAATTTTCCGATTTTTAATTTTTCGTGTTGTCGATTTTAATGCTACATTTTCTCAATCTTTAATGTAACAAAATTTTCAATTTCCCGTTTTTTCAAATTTCGCAATTTTTCAGCAAGAGAGCGAATTTATTTAAACAAAAATTCTGAAAAATTGCAAACAAAATTTTGAATTATTTTCCGGTGTTTCTAATGCTCGCCTACAATTTGGGTGTGGGTATATTACAAGCTGTTTCATCGAAAAATCAAAAATTTTAAAAATAGCCGATCGAAAATTCAAGTTAAAAAATATACAAATTGAAAATCGAAAAATCAGAAAAATTGAAAACATTTTTTATTAATAAAAACTGCCCGTGAGGGATCGAACCGCCGTGTTGTTATCACGTGAATTTTTTTTTGAGAAGATCAGGTTACGGTAAAATTCAAAGGAGATTCATAACCCACACGTATTTTTTTTCGTACTCTAGAGGCCATGAAACGGCGAGAAAATATGAAAACTTACTTTCAGAAAGTAAAAATTATAACTTCAAAACATTAAGAAGTTAAAAAGTTTTGGTGGAAATATGCGTCGTATTCAAACTAAGATTCGATTATTTTCCCGCAGTCAATTTTACTAAAATATTTAAAGAGTTCACCAACTTGGTGTTGTTTTTTGTTTTTTAATAAATTTAATTTGAATTTTTAAGGCGTTTTAATGCTGTTTAACCAGTTTTCGTTGACAAAAAAATCAAAGAATCCATATGCAGATAAAACTAATTTGTTAGACAAAAACAATTGAAATTTGTCATGTGAAAAAATCTGTTACATTAAACTCTTTGAACGTGCTTTTGTATATCAAGTTCATTACACTTGTTTCCTGCCGTAACTCGCCGACAGGTGTCACCCTTAACCGAACAAAACAACACAAACTTATTGTTATCATTTTCGTTTTCCAGTTGAATTATGATTCCAAACCTTTCAGAAAAATATCTCCAACTGGGTGATAAAATCCACAAACTTCCCGTTTTCCCTTTGACATTTACATCTATTCAACCGCGACCCCGTTCCACCCCACGGCAATTCACCACTTTAAAATTCGTTGTTTACTCCCAATTAACAATGTTTTTTCGCAATTCGCACGGCGCTAAAATTAGCATACAAAGCCAAGTTCAACGGTCTCGGCTGCCAAATACGCGAAACGTCACACGGAAGCACACAATCCAGACGTGCATGCACGATCTTCAAATTAAAATGAGACGCTTCCGTCAACAATTAACAACAATATACAGCCTAGCGCTTCGTTCGAGAATTCGACTTAACGTAAACAAAAAGAGATAATCAAATAAAAAATGAAAATGTGTGTACAGTAACAAATCGGCTTCATGCGGGAAAGGAGCTGAGGCATGCGTCCGATTATGCATCAAGGCAGACGTGTAGCTAGGTGGAGGAGTATCAGGGGGATAAGACGACCCTTGGCTGCGTTGGAGCGTTCTTGCGGCGATCGCCTGGCTGGCCTGAGGTGGCGGCAAGTATGGATCGGTTTCGTTCACTTGATGGTAGTCCTTCCTGAAAATAAAAATAAGGTTGTGAATAGACGCCGTAAAACGGATGCGTGTTAGACGATCGAAAAAGTGGAAACTGCTAATTAAAATTAGTTAAGTCACATTCCAGATCGAATTAGTAACAAAATCTTGGGATTATCGAAGTGGTTTGGCAAAAACTATCGGATCATGTGACATTGGAGTTGGTTCAAGGCTACGTCAAGTTCGATTTAATATTTTCTAGCAGGAACTCCTTTTCCTTTTTTTCGTTAGATTAGGTTTGATGTCGATGTGTTTCTAGAAGAGTGATTTCCGTTATTTCAGAGATTTCTGTTTGTCAATAAAGTGATAATTTTTCCTATAATGGATTCACCTTTTTAGATCGCAGAAAGTAATCAACATTAGCAAGCTAAAGTTTCTTGAGAAAGACTGACATTTTTTATGTCGCCTTGGCTAGTTAAGATCGTTAACATCAGTAGCTTACATTTTTATTTTATGCATTTTTTGTTGTAATTTTGTATATGTTGCTTAAATCTTTATACATATAATTGTCAAACACCTCCTCTGACCTATGAATTATTAAAAAAAAAAAACATCACTAGGTTTAATTAACCCGAAGAGTTTGTAGATTTATTTTAAAAATTAAATGTACGATTTCCTAAGTGAGGGTGGCTTATCTTAAGTTTCAAACCATCCTGCTAAATATTCAAGTCCCTTTTTTGTAATGTGGAGGTAAGATATTTGCTATTTTGAGGTTGACAGGCTGGAAGTAAATACATTCATATTTGTGGAAACGTCAGAAACAGATTCTCTTATAACTTTACCAACAATATATTGTGCGTACCGACTTGGTAGCGTACAAAACTCGTAAGCAATGCATTGTTACGATGATCGGTGTTTAAAATCGGCGTGGGTAAAACTCAACCATTTATTTCTTAGTAACTCAAACTTCCCATACTTCCTTCTAGAGGTTCCGTGATCGAGGTCTTTCTGGAATACGCATCGCGACCTCCGTCTTCAGGCTATTCGTATACGTGACGTATGGGTTTATTTCGTAGCAATACAATAAATAGCTAACTACTGGTATTATTTTTTTGTTTTCCAAGTTAAGTCATGTACAACATAGCACAACATTTTGTTGTCTATAATACTAGTGTTATAAATATACAATCTTCGGATCATCTTTGGAACATTTTTTTCTCTAATTGTCATCCCCGATTATCAAAGAGCACACGCGTTTTAGTGTTGAAATTTCGGCCGTTATTCTGTCTTTTATTAGTTCCGTTTTTCCATTAAAACGCCCCAAATATTGAAAAATGGTCATTTTGGACGGTAAGTGTTTTCATATAAAAGAAATATAGTTGTTCATCATTTTGCTCTGCATTTTAACATATTTTTCGTAACAATTTGGATCGTTTATAGTGCTTTCATTTTCAACTAAAAAATCTACTAATTTGCCCAAACAAATGTTATACTTTTGCGTCATTCTTTGCAGGTTTAAATTCAGAACTTTACAATGATATCCTAGATCATCCACTTCCTTCTGGTTAATTAAATAAATTTAGAATTTTTTTTTAACAGTCGAATCAGTGTATGTCTAACGGGATGGATGATTTTTCCTAAGTTATTATTTTAAGTTAATAGAACCTCAATTGGCAATTTTAAAATAGTAATTTGCACTATTCAAGATTCAATTTTAAACAGTGATGCACTTTGAACAATTGTTAGTAAGAAAATGTCATGGTGAATTTCAAGAGGGAAAGGGATGTCATGCGGATTTTGTGTTATCATTTATGTGTTCTACGACCTGAATTTTGAACATTTATTCTCGGACATTCCTCTCACAGCGAAGTGTGCCCGAGCGACGTCATTGTGATTTCGACCGTATTTAACAGGTTTTTTTTGTGATGGGGAACTCAATTCACGATATAATCTTGATTGCTTAATTTAATTGGCAATTTTAAAATAGTAATTTGCAGTATTCAAGATTTAATTTTAAACAATGATGCACTTTGAAAAATTGTTAGTAACAAAATGTCATGGTGAATTTGAAGAGGGAAAGGGATGTCATGCTGATTTTGTGTTATCATTTATGTGTTCTACGACCTGAATTTTGAATATTTATTCTTGAACATTCCTCTCACAGCGAAGTGTGCCCGAGCGATGTTATTGTGATTTCGACTGTATTTAACATGTTTTTTTGTGATGGGGAATTCAATTCACGATATAATCTTGATTGCTCAATTTAATTGGCAATTTTAAAATAGTAATTTGCAGAATTCAAGATTTAATTTTAAACACTGATGCCCTTTGAAAAATTGATAGTAAGAAAATGTCATGGTGAATTTGAAGAGGGAAAGGGATGTCATGCAGATTTTGTGTTATCATTTATGTCTTCTACGACCTGAATTTTGAACATTTATTTTCGGACATTCCTCTCACAGCGAAGTGTGCCCGAGCGATGTTATTGTGATTTCGACCGTATTTAACATGTTTTTTTTTGTGATGGGGAATTCAATTCACGATATAATCTTGATTGCTTAATTTAATTGGCTTTTTTAAAATAGTAATTTACATAATTTTTTAATTTTTCCATTTTTTAATTTTCTTCGAGATTTTGACAATACAATTATTAACTTTTCAATATTTTGATGTTTTAATTTTTAATTTTTTAATTTCTCGATTTGTGATGTTTTTCCATTTATTTGATTTTCAAATTTTTCAATTTGCATTTTTTTATCAACTTTTTTCAAATTTTTGATTTTTCGGTTTATGGATTTTTCAATTTTTCTGTTTTTGGTATGATTTTCAACTTCTCGATGTCAATTTTACGTTTTTGCAATTTTTAGATTTTAGATTTACCTATTGGATTCTTCAATTTTAGAATTTAGCCATTTTTGAATTTATCGATAATGCAGTTTTATGACTTTACAATTTTCCGATTTTTCTGATTTTTAAATTATTCCCTTTATCGATCTTTCAAGGTTTCATTGAAAATATTTAATTTTCCGGTTAGCAATTTTTAGATTTTACCATTCGATTTTTCATTTTTACAATTTTGAAATACTTCGATTTCTCAATTATATAATTGTTAACTCCTCAATTTTTGATTTTTTTATCTTTCAATTGTGCAGTTTTCCCATTTTTCAAATTTTCGATTTGGAATATTTCAGTTTTTCGATTTTACAATGAATCGATTTTTCTTCAATTTTACAATTTTTAATTTCTTGATCATCAAAATTTTCAAGTTCTAGAGTAGTTTCCAGATTATTCATTTTAAAATTTTTCTATTATTAATTTTTCAATTAATGAATTTTTGAATTTTACGATTTTGTTATTTTTGGATTTTTAGGTTTATTCGATTTTTCAATTTCCCAACTTTTAAGTCTCCAATTTTCTAATTTTGAAATTTTTAGATTTAGCGCTTTTTTGAATTTATCGATTTTTCAAGTTTGAATTTGTGCTGGAATTTTAAATTTTTTGTTTTTCAATTATTATTCGACTTTACCGCCACCTGCTTTTTTGATTTTACATTTCCCAAATTTTCGATTTTACAATTATTAGATTTTTCAGACGTGCTTTTTCCATTTCTTAATTATATGAATTTCCAATTATCCAATTTGCAATTTTTGATTTTTCAACTTCAACTTTTTATCAGCTTCTTCAAATTTTTGATTTTTCGGTGTATGGATTTTTCAATTTTTCTATTTTTGGTATGATTGTCAATTTCTCGATGTCAATTTTTCAATTTTGCTATTTTTCGATTTTAGATTTACCCATTCGATTTTACATTTTTGCCATTTTTGAATTTATCGATTTGTCAATTTTTCGATTCTTTAGTTTCACGATCCTTCAAACTTTCAAGATTTTCAATTTTCCGATTTGCAATTTTAGATTTTACGATCACATTTTTAATTTTTTCGATTTTTCAATTCTGCAATTTTTTCCATTTTTTTTGATTTTATAATTAATCTATTTTTCAATTTTATAAGTTGGCAAATTTTCGATTCCTTGATTATCAAAATTTTCAAGTTTTCAATATTTGGATTAACTTTTTTGAGTAATTTTTTAACGATACAATTTTATTTAACATGTTTTTTTTGCGATGGGGAATTCAATTCACGATGTAATCTTGATTGCTCAATTTAATTGACAATTTTAAAATAGTAATTTGCACTATTCAAGGTTTAATTTTAAACAGTGATGTACTTTGAAAAATTGTTAGTAACAAAACGTCATGGTGAATTTGAAGAGGGAAAGGGATGTCATGCAGATTCTGTGTTATTATTTATGTGTTCTACGACCTGAATTTTGAACATTTATTTTCGTACATACCTCTCACAGCGAAGTGTGCACCGAGCGATGTTATTGTGATTTCGACCGTATTTAACATGTTTTTTTTGTGATAGGGAATTCAATTCACGATATAATTTTGATTGGTTAATTTAATTGGCAATTTTAAAATAGTAATTTACAGTATTCAAGATTTAATTTTAAACAGTGATGCACTTTGAAAAATTGTTAGTAACAAAACGTCATGGTGAATTTGAAGAGGGAAAGGGATGTCATGCAGATTTTGTGTTACCATTTATGTGTTCTACGACCTGAATTTTGAACATTTATTTTCGGACATTCCTCTCACAGCGAAGTGTGTACCAAGCGACGTTATTGCGATTTCGACCGCATTTAACATGTTTTTTTTTGTGATGGGGAATTCAATTCACGATATAATCTTGATTGCTTAATTTAATTGGCAATTTTAAAATAGTAATTTGCAGTATTCAAGATTTAATTTTAAACAATGATGCACTTTGAAAAATTGTTAGTAACAAAATGTCATGGTGAATTTGAAGAGGGAGAGGGATGTCATGCAGATTTTGTGTTATCATTTATGTGTTCTATGACCTGAATTTTGAACATTTATTTTCGGACATTCCTCTCACAGCGAAGTGTGCACCGAGCGACGGTACTGTGATTTCGACCGTATTTAACATGTTTTTTTTGTGATGGGGAATTCAATTCACG